AGTTCGGAACCACTCCGCTGCCCGACCGGTGAGCGTGGAGTAAAAGGCCCTACACATCACGGCGTCTGATACACCCTTCAACATCATGTTGCCGTAGAAATCATTGACATGGACCTCGGGGTCCGTACGGCCATCATAGCTTTTCTCCCCGGAGATCTTCAGATCGAGCGGGTAGGGCTGAGCCATTACCGCCACTGTAAAAGGCGTCCTGAGCAAGGTCGATTGGTCGACTGGGGGTGTTGCGGGATGCGCGTTCCTGAACTGCGCGAACTCCGCCTGGAGGGTGTTCAGCAATCCTCGGGTCTCGATGAGCTCGGCCGTCTGGGCGGCTTGGGCTGTGTCCCGAGCGCGTCGTCGACGGTGAGATCTCGACCCACTACGCCCGGATGAAGCCTCCTGGCTGGCGTCCTGCATCTGCACGTCTTCCGGCTGCCGGCTCGGGTCTTGGGGCCCCAAGCGTTGTCGCATCGCCGGTCGAAGACGATTAAAAGCTACCGCTCGGGTAACTTCTTCGGGATCCTCCGCTCGGGCTGGAACCTCCGGTGCTTGCTGGGCCTGCCGTGGTGCCTCCATCGCATCAGCACCCCCCGACCCCAACACGAACGAGCCGAGCGTCGAGCCCGGGAAGTGGGCTGATGCTGCGGCTCTACATGTGCGGCCGGGTAAACTGGAGGGGCGGCGGCTGGAGCCGTGTACGCAGGCGTGAAAGGTGGGTAGCCAACCGGCGATGTGTAGTACATCGGTTGACCGGGCCAATACCCGTACGGTTGAGGTGGGACCGGGTATGGATACTGGCCGGGATACGGCATCTGTTGTTGCTGGTACTGTGGACCGGGTGTCTGATATCCCGGTTGTATGTAATTCACCGGCTGTTGGGCGGCCGGGTATGTATTGGAGAGATGGGGTGGTGAGAGATTGAGGTTGAGGTCCATATTCTGACCTTGTTGGTGAGTCGCCGGGTGGTCGGATGAGCTCGCTGCATCCGCTTGGTCGTCAGCGAAGTTGTTGTATGCCCACGGATACATGATTGATGAGAGACCGGGTGCTCGTCAAGACGATAGCTTTCTTGCACGGGTCCCCACAGACGGCGCCAAAATGATAGTGTTAATTGCCACGTAGTGCGGTAATTAAGTAAACAAGAGACCAATTAAAGCAAGTAAATAACTCTTATTGATCACTGTGAAGTCCCTAAGTACAATCTAAATGGCTGTTCTGAGTACCGACTGACTGCGGTCGGGATTCTCTAACAACAACCTATCGATCGTCCAAAAGTCCCTCACACTGTCGCTATCGCGGGTATTTATAGCCGCGGAGCCGGAGACACAAATCCGGCCGTTCGGCATGCTTCCCACGTAGAAACCACGTGTCGTCGTCCCGGGTGCCCTGTCTGTCAACGCGTGAAGCCGCCACGTGTCCTTCCCCAGCTCTCTCGCTAAAGGGCTACCGCTCGGTGGTCGACACGATCGCTTGGGTAACTCCCGGTCGGATCCCGACCGGGTCTTTCACAAGAAACCCGACCTGTTATCTGCAAAGACAAGAAGAAAAGGACAGTGGCACACCGATCGGGGTAAAGCTATGTCGGTCGGGGTATTCCCTACCAGAATCATAACATAGTCTTAACTCTTAATAGGGAGAAGCTGCGAAAGGGAGAAGAAAAGAGAGAAAATGATGGAATGGGGTTTCTTCTTTCATTTATTTATATATTTACAAAAAAAAAAGAAAAAAAATTATATACGGTATGTGTACAACCTGATGTAATATGAATATGTTAGAGAAACTCGTATGGGCAGCTCAACCGGTTATAGAGGTGAAAGTTTGGAAGAATGACCAGGGATCGAGTCTCACCAGCGGCAGTGATGGGGGCTCCTTGTGCGCAGTAAGTAAATGTCTTTACCTCCTCCTAAACGCTTTATCGAGGCCCTTCTTGAGAATCCAACCTTGTTAGCTTTATCGAGGCCCTTATTGAGAATCCAACCTTGTTATTCACTTTAGTGACCCTCTTCTCAAATTTCACTTTAGTGACCAACTGAGCTGCCCGTACGGACAATCATATTATTCCAGTCGTTATATCGTGCACCGCGGTGCATAATTGATTATGCACCGCGCGTCAAAACGGCGCCGTTTCTGCAATTATAACGGAGTGATACTACAGTGTGTCTAAACCGACACTGTCTCACATATTATTTTTATATTATCAAATGAAACTGTAGTTATATCAAAATGATACTGTAGTTATGGTGAAATGAAACTACAGTATATATAAAATGAAACTGAATAACATTTCACATATTTGAGTGTATATTGTACAATGAAGCTGTAATTATATTGAAATGATCATGTAGTTGTGTTTTAATGAAACTATAGTGTATATAAAATAAAATTAAATAACATTTTCACATATTGAGTGTATAAATATTGAATGAAACTGTAGTTATATCGAAATGAAACTGTCGTTGTGTTGAACTGAAACTGCAGTGTATACAAAATGAAACTGAAGAACAGAGTTATTTTTTGCGAAAATTCTGTTTCTTTTCATTAAATAAAACGACGTCGTTTTGGCGCGGTGCATAATCGATTATGCACCACGGTGCACGATATAATTTGCCATATTATTCACGTACATGGAGATGATCACGTGGTCTTGCATAGGTGTTTCTAGAGGTGTCAAATAGACAGATTAGCCCAAAATCTAAATTCAACCCAACCCATTTGTGTTGGCCCAATTCGGTCCATTTGTTACAAAGAATAAATTAGGGCTAACCCATTTTATACTACGAATAGAGTCGAACTTTAATTTTTTTCTCATGGATCGGGTTAGACCGTTGGCCCGTAGATTTTTTTTAAAAAATATAATACACATATATACGGCAAATTATGTCCTGGACCCGTGTCCATAATGAATTGTGGACACGGGCCCAAAACGACGTCGTTTTTCAAAAAAAGCGCGTCATTTAGTTAAAAAAAAAAAAATTCGCGCGCGTTTTGCCGTTAACGGCGTTATTTTTTTTTTTTGGAATTATGAATGTACAGTTATGCCGTTATGAATGTACAGTTATGCAATTATAAAATTATGAACACAGAGCTCTAACATTATGAACTTACAATTATGAACATATATAGTGATAAAATTATGACCATGGAGCTTTAAAATTGTGAATATTGAGCTTCGAAGATTATGAATGTACAGTTATAGAGTTATGAATCTACAGTTATGGAGTTATGAATCTACAGTTATGAGATTATGAATCTACAGTTATGGAATTATGAATGTACAGTTATTGATCGAATTATGAACAAAGAGCTCTAACATTATGAACTTACAATTATGAACATATAGTGATAAAATTATGAACATAGAGCTCTAAAATTGTGAACATAGAGCTTCGAAAATTATGAATGTACAATTATGGAGTTATGAATGTACAGTTATGAAGTTATGAATGTACAGTTATGGAGTTATGAATGTACAGTTATAGAGTTATGAACGTACAGTTATGGAGTTATGAATGTACAGTTTTTTTTTTTGAAAAAATGAATGTGCAGTTATTAACATATAGTAATAAAATTATGAACATATATTTCTATAACAAAGCGGTCTGAAATTAAAAAAAAAAGAAAAAAAAAAAAAAAGAAAAGATAACAGTGCCTAACGGCACTGTTACCCGTGCCCAGCAAGCATGCTGGACACGGGTCCAACGCATAACGATTGCATATATACTCTAATGGAATAATAACGCACACATTAGAGTAATACCCATGCAGTGATGCAAGCATCCAACTGTGACAAAAATATACACTATTTTATCAAGAGAAAGTAACAGTTTTTCCCTCTGAGTTATATACTTATAACACTTTCCCCTTGAATTATTTAAGTGGCAGTTTTTCCTTCTGAAATGTTAAATAGACATATTTACCCTTAAAATAAATATTTCATTTATTTTTCTTCTCCAACAAATAATGACCACGATTTGGTTCAAAACGAACATACACTATTGCAACCAAACCGAAATATTCCGATTACAATTTAGAATCGAAACCCGATATTTAGAGCTTATTAATATCGCGAACAAGAATGGCATGTTCATGTTCCGAACTGAAAAAAAAAAATACATCTATTGTTGAATTTAGATTGTTTTAAAAATAAAAAATAAAATTTTAAAATAAAGTTTGAACCAGCAGTTCAAACTGGATCTGAAACCGTGAACCGGCGGTTCAAAATCAAAACCAAATTGCGGTCATATATACTTATATGTAAGAATCAGAATAAATTTAAAAAATAACATACACTATTTGTAAATATTATAATTCTAATTTTAAACTAATGCTAGTAGTTGTTCCAATTCGAAGTGTTGGTTTACGGTTCAGGATCTAGTTTTTTCGATTCATGATTTTAATAAACTGAAATCCAAATATTGAATTCTGGATCTGAATCATAACCCGAAAACTTTCAATTCGATTGCTATAGTGTCCGTTTCAATTCAAACCGAACTGTGGTCATAAGTAATAATTCGTTGGAGAAGAAAAATAAATAAAATGTTTACTTTAAGGGTAGAAATGTTAATTTAATATATTATGGGGAAAAACTGCTGATTTTAGAATAATTGAAGGGACTAATATACTTATATGAATAATTCAGATAAAAAAATGTGTTATAAACATATAATTCAGAGGAAAAAAAATGTTATTTTCTCTTTTATTAAATAAAAAACCTTACTTTTAATGATAGATGAGATGAGATAACCCAATAGGGTAGCTCAAATGGTAAATGAACTCTCGGGAAGAGTTTTGAGATAACTAGGTGTACCTGAACCGTTAAAAGTCAACACTAACAACAAGGAAAATATTACATGTACTTTCATCCTCTACTCTTAACTAATCTATCAAAAATATAACTTATCAAAATTCATCACATCAAAGTAAACTTGAGGAAGTATAATTTAGAAGTACACTTAGTAGAAGTTAGAACACTAGAACTTTAATAATATAATAATTCCGGTGTTTTAGCTTCTGGATCGAATTTTCTCTGCTCTCTTCCTGCAACTCAGACGCTGTCGCCATTCATGGTGGGGCTATTTCACTCGAAGCTCCAAACCAGCCGGTTATCACCTTCGTAATCTCAAGGTTGGTTCTCCCATGGGCGACCGGAGTTGACCTGTTCTTTTTTATTCATTTCTTTTGAATTTTGATGCCAACTCTTCTTGAAAGGATCCGACCACGCTGCCCTTACTTATATTATTATTATTATTTATTAAATTCCCGTTAGAATACGATTACATAATGTATTCATGGTAAGCGAAAGGTGTTGAATTGGCAAGCTGATTGCATGAAGCATGGGCATTTGAGAAAAAGGGAAAAACGAACGTTAAGGCGCCTGTGATTGATATTGCGCGTAAGGTGCTCGATGAAATTCACTAACTGCTAATTCAAATGAAGTTCAGTGAGGCTCAGCTCCTGCATTAAGTATTGTATAACTGGCTTTGTGGCTTGAAAAAAGTCCGGTTCTGATTTACAGTGGACTTAATATATTTGATTGCATAAGAGGTTTTGTTTTGGTGTTTTCCAACTTACTTCTCCATGAATCTCACTCTCGGTTCTCTTTCTCTTTTCAGTTCTCACTCTCTGCGGCTTTCCGGGTCAAAGTCAGTCACGAACTAGCGAATCGGTCGATCGCCGAATAAGTCGCGAAGCCCTCATCACTCGGTCAGTTCTTGGTTTCATTCTCAATTCTCATTAATCATTGTCTGGTTACTTAGCTAAAAGCCCGACTCAGCCCCCTGAGAAGGCTACTCGTGCTACAGTTTGAAATAAATCCTAATAACCTGATTAGCTGATTCCAATTTGTAATTTTTAGGTAGTTTATAGCTACTACTTTTAAATTTGCAATACGTAGAGTTTAGTTATCTTTCATTGTGGAAAAATTGGCCTATTGTCTGACTGCATTTCATATCTTGCCTTGCCATTTGTGTCATTTTTTCCCAATTTTGCAACTTTTTCCATTTCAGCTTGCTGCAAGTTTCACAGTATTTTAATTCTCATTCAAAGCCAATAGGCCAGAAGCTGACAGAATATCTGCTTTTGATAAATGATAGATTTACTAAGATAAACGATCTAACTGTTTTTAGTGCTTGTCAATGATCAATAAGAATAACTGCTATGTCCAATTTTTGCATAGTGAAAAGCTATGGCAGTAGAGGAGTGGTGGAAGCATGAGATGGGTACTGGAAGAAGGGCTTTTGTGATGGTGTTGGTGGGAATATGTCTGCTTCATGGATTGGGTATTCTTTTATTCACTAGAGGCTTTCTTCTCACTCGCACTGAGCTTTCACATTACAGCCAGTGCTCTGATATCCACCATTCTCCCTGCTTTCCACCCTCTTCTTCATCCGTTCCCAATCGAAATGAAGAAGAAACGGTCAAAAGTTCTCCCCATGTTCATACTCAAAGCCGAAGTTGTTGGACCAAACAATCTGTTGATCGCCTTGTCATCGTTGTTCTAGATGCCCTCAGGTACTACCATCATATTTGCATACTCTTCTCTTCTTTCCTCTTATTTAATCTTCTTTTATTTCCTTTTTCTTTTTCAATTGTATATGAACTTATTATGAAGTAGCTATTTGATTAATTACTTTTGCATTAAAATTTTTAAATCTTCAAAATAGGTTTGACTTTGTTGCTCCCAGCACATTTTTTCAAGGTATGCACTTCATCCCCCTTTCCCCTTCAATCTGCACTTGCTCTCTACTTTAAAATGTGAGATAAGGTTTCCTGCCACTGGTACCAATACTCTTTGATTCCAGCTTAGTCAGTGCTACTTAATAGTTTCCTTACCCTCATCAATGGTAAATATTTAAACACCTGTTTCTCTCTCTCTCTCTCTCTCTCTCTCTCTCTCTCTCTCTCTCTCTCTCTCTCTCTCTCTCTCTCTTTTCTGCTTGGGTTTTAGATAGAAAACCATGGATGGACAAATTGCCCGTGCTGCATAAGCTCGCCACTCGACCAGGTTCATCTGCTAGGATCTTCAAAGCTATTGCCGATCCACCTACCACCAGTTTGCAGCGTCTAAAAGTAAATATTTTCTCGTTATGATTACTCTCCCAAGGATGTTTTATAAGGAAAGAACATTAGCTTTAACCCTCAGGTCTTACTCACACCTCTGTTCATTTATCTAGTTTTAGGAACAGGCATATCTATGCCATTCAAGAATTGCTCTTATGATGATTCTTGTTCTCCTTGGCTATATTAGTTGTTGTCTAGCCTTGCTTAGTTTCTCATTTGGGCTTCAAAAGGTTTAGTCTTCTAATATTAATGGTGTTCTGGAATATATAAGTAATATGGATCTCTATAGATTAGGCCGTCTTAGGGATTTAGGCATATGGAAACTTGTTTCCTTATTACAAGTCTTCTAGCATGTATTTATATTTTATAGGGCTGTGTATTCCCCTTTCTAACATAGATTGATAGACCTTCTATTCACTTTCGTACAATATATATTTTCTCATTCCTTGATTCTTCATCTCTTCCTCCGCCTAACTGGTGGGTGGTTGTTATTCTCCACCCGCCAGGCATTTGTGGATCATTCAAATTCAACATGTTCTATTTTGCTTTTTCTGATTTCAGGGCTTGACAACTGGTGGACTTCCAACTTTTATTGATGTGGGAAATAGCTTTGGTGCTCCTGCAATTATTGAGGATAATTTAATATATCAGGTGACAATGAGGATGCTCGTTCATAGTAACTTTCTTTAAGTGAATTAATTTCATTTCCTTAATTTTTCGACCTATGCCTAACCATTAGTGTTTATTGTATTGCTTTCTATTTGTAGATGGTTCACAATGAAAAGCAAGTGTTGATGATGGGAGATGACACTTGGGTGCAGTTGTTCCCTAAACATTTTAACAGATCTTTTCCATTCCCTTCCTTCAATGTTAAAGATCTTCATACAGTATGTTTTTTTAAAATTTATTTTATTTTTTTTTTATTTATTAATGCCATTGTTGACACTTGGTCATCGTGAGAAAGTGCACATTGAAAATGTGTTTTCAATGAAAAATTAGTGTAAGGTTGAGCGTTGAAAACAATGCCCCTTAGCTGAATCTTCAACATGTCTATTTGCCAGGTAGACAATGGCTGTATCGAGCACATTTTTCCTTCCTTGTACAAAGATGATTGGGATGTGCTTATAGCACATTTTCTTGGAGTGGTATGATTATCATAAGCTACCACAAATGTTATGGCAATTACACCTCCGCTCTTTTCTGGCAATTCTATTCTGATATTAATTTCTAAATCCCTAAGGATCATGCTGGACATATATCTGGTGTTGATTCTACTCAAATGATAGAGAAGTTGGAGCAATACAACACGATTTTGGAGGTACTTTTGTTTATTTAAAATTTTTGCATGTTTAAGTTGTCAACTGAATAAGGTTGTGGCTGAGTCTGGGGGTGTATGTGATACTTTTGTAATGGGTTGGAACCCCTTCATGTCTTATATCTTCTTAATAATCATACAAAATGAGGTTGTCATTAGAACAAGAAGAGAGACAACAGGGATGGTGGTAGTTAAGGACTTTGGATGAATGTATTGATCAAAGTTTTGGAGGGGAAGCTTTTTTTTTTTCCCTAAACATTTACTGTTTCCCTTGTATCTCTACTTTGCAATACATATCTGGATTCTCTAATCATATTTTGCTCAAGTTGTAGATTGACCAGTACTCTTCACTTCTTCCTAAAAATTCAATTGGGAAATAACCTTGATGCACACCTTCACTATTGGGTGATTGTACACTTTCTAGTAAAATGTCTCGTGAATCTGAGCAGTTGCAACATTTTTAATTGTGAAGTCATGATAATTTACACTATCTGCCTGGGAATGGGTTGTCTTCAATCTTACCTCTATTATGTTGTTTTTCATGATTAAATCTAAGTACTCTTGGCATTATGTGATGTTTCGTATTTCATAGTTGCTTTTTGTGCCTTATTATGGCTCTCTGAAATCTGAATTAATGTATTGGACTGTGTCTTTAGCAAATTGTTGATGTGTTGGAGAGCCAGAGTGGACCGGGAGGATTACATGAAAATACTATGCTTCTTGTGATGGGTGATCATGGGCAAACTGTCAATGGTGACCACGGTGGAGGGACTGATGAAGAGGTTCCATATCTACCATTTAACATCAGACTCTAGAAGCAAAGCTTAAGAAAAACATGCAAAAACAAAATAAAGCAAAAACATAAACAAATAATAATAATAATAATTAATAATAACAATAATAATTAATAATAATAATAATAATAATAATAATAATAATAGAAAATTTTAGAAATTAAAGTGCAATTTCCTTTCTATCCTAAAGAAACATTTTTGCAGGTTGAGACATCACTATTTGCCATGAGTTTTAAGAAGCCTCCATTTCCTTCACCATTGGAATCTGACACTTCATCTTGCCAACTTGACTTGGTATGACTAAATTATAGATATGAAATACTTATTAATATGTGTGTGTATATGTGATACATTAATGCAGTTTTTCTTCCTATATTCCCTTGCAAAGAGTCTTAAGAATCATCCCCCTTACATTTTTCACTATTATAACTTTATTTATGTCAGGATGGAAATAGGATGTGCATCAGCTCCATCCAACAGGTTAAGTCATAGTCTCATTCTATGCAGGTCCTGAATTATGTTTTCTTTAGAAAATTCACTAAGCCGTGTTTTTTGGTCTCAGCTTGATTTTGCAGTCACAGTGTCTGCTCTGCTTGGAATTCCCTATCCATTTGGAAGGTGCTGAATAAGAACTTCATTTATATTAATGTTTCTCTAATTATTTTATTGATTCTGAAAACCACATTATACATGCTATCATTTTCTATTTCTATAGACTCTGTCTGATATGAGGAAAAAAATACTTGTTTTGTTTTGGTACTTTATTTCAGTTATACTTCTATATTTTCTTTATGAGAGGCATGTGCATATTTTCTATATGTAAACAACCCCACTTGGTTACTTCTAGTCTGTTCTAATCTCTGTATTCCATACAATTGAGTCAAGAGGATACACATATTTATACTAGGCTATGCACACTAACTATGGTAAGGATCAATAATATCCCTAAGATATTATACACACTATCCCTAAGATATTATACTGAGATCATATCAAATATTCTTCTACCATATAATGTCTAACACTCCCCCTCAAGTTGGAGCATAGATATTGATAATGCCCAACTTGTTACATAAGTAATCTATTCGAGGCCCATTCATAGCTTTTGTAAAAAGATCTCCTAGCTGTTCTCCTGTCTTCACAAATCCAGTAGAAATTAAGCCTCGTTGTATCTTTTCACGAATGAAATGACAATCAACTTCAATGTGCTTGGTTCGTTCATGGAAAACAGGATTGGCTGCAATATGGAGAGCCGCTTGATTGTCACACCATAGCTTCGCAGGAATAGAGGCCTTGAGCCCTATTTCATCGAGAATGTGATATATCCACAAGATTTCACAGGTTGCCTGTGCCATTGCTCTATACTCTGACTCTGCACTCGATCGTGAGACAACATTTTGCTTCTTGCTCTTCCACAAGATCAAGTTTCCACCAAAGAAGACACAAAATCCGGTTGTAGACCTCCGATTCTCCTTAGACCTTGCATAGTCTGCATCTGCAAAGCACTCAATGTTCATATGTCCATGGTTTTGATATACAATTCCACGTCGTGGAGCACCTTTCAAGTAGTTCAGGATTTGTTCAACAGCTTTCCAATGATCAATAGTTGGAGATGCCATAAATTGACTTACAATACTTACTGAGTAAGCAACATCAGGACGAGTTACAGTCAGATAATTTAGCTTACCAACCAATCTTCTATATCTTTCTGGATCATCAAATAGCTCCCCCTCTGATGTCAACTGTGAATTAGGGATCATTGGAGTATTGCATGGCTTAGCTCCTAGTTTTCCTGTTTCTGTCAATAGATCAAGTATATATTTTCTCTGGGAGAGAAGTATACCTTTCTTACTCCGTATTACCTCAACACCTAGAAAATATTTTAATGTACCAAGATCTTTAGTCTGAAATTGACTATGAAGAAAGGTCTTAAGAGATACAATACCAGCGGTGTCACTTCCAGTGATGACAATGTCATCCACATAGACAACTAATAAAATAATGCCTTTCTCAGAGCGTTTATAGAAGACAGAATGATCAGACTTTCCTTTTATCATGCCAAACCTCTCAATCGCTTGACTGAATTTCCCAAACCATGCACGAGGGCTTTGCTTAAGGCCATACAAAGATTTGCGAAGTCGACAAACCTTACCATACTCTCCCTGAGCAACAAACCCAGGTGGTTGCTCCATGTAGACTTCATCTTGAAGCTCACCATGTAGAAAAGCATTTTTAATGTCCAGTTGATGTAAAGGCCAATTAAATGTAGCAGCCATAGAAATAAGCAATCTGACAGAGGTCAATTTTGCAACAGGAGAAAATGTGTCAGAGTAATCAATACCATAAGTTTGGGCATACCCCTTAGCAACTAGACGAGCCTTCAACCGAGCTATAGATCCATCAGGGTTAACCTTCACCACGAACACCCACTTGCACCCAATGGCCTTCTTCCCTACAGGTAAATCTACCAAGTTCCACGTACCATTGAAATCCAAGGCATTCATCTCCTCAATCATAGCGTTACGCCAACCAAAATGGGACAGTGCTTGTTTGACAGTTTTAGGAATTTGTATAGAGTCGAGAAGCAATAAAAGTGCAGGAGATATGGGGTAAGTGGTTGTAAGAAACAAACGATGAGACAGGATAAGTACAAGTTCTTTTACCTTTGCGTAGGGCTATTGGCAAGGTAGCTGGATCAGACGACGAAGAATCCGGCTCAGGACATGAATCTGGCGTATTGTCAGGAACCAAAGTAGTGTCGGGATTCAGGTTAACCTCTTTTGGAACAGACTGGTGTTTACGAGAATATACCTGAGTAATTGGTGGTCGGGAAGGTGGAATAGAAACGGAAGCGGTGGTAACCGTATAGATGAGAATATCATCATCACTGTCGCCATGGCTTTCTGAATTTGAAGAAGGTGAGAATGAAACATCTTCATGGAAGGTTACGTCAATAGACACGAGATATCTTCCCGTTGACGGACAATAACACCTATACCCCTTTTGAACACGAGAATATCCCAAAAAGATGCACTTTAAAGATTTAGGATCTAATTTCGTGATATGGGGCCTTACATCTCTCACAAAGCAAGTACATCCAAATGTTTTTGGTGGAATAGGAAATACAGATTTGTGAGGGAAAAGACACTGATAGGGTGTTGTACCATGTAAGACCGAAGACGGCATACGGTTGATCAAAAAACAAGCAGTAGAGACTGCATCAGCCCAAAAATGTTTTGGAACCCACATTTGGAACAGGAGAGCCCGAGCAGTTTCTAGTAAGTGCCTGTTTTTGCGTTCAGCAACCCCATTTTGAGATGGGGTGTCAACATAGGAAGATTGATGTAAAATTCCATGTTCAAGCATATAAGAGGAAAAGGGTTCAGAAAAATACTCTTTAGCATTGTCACTTCTCAATACACGAACAGGTATATTAAATTGTGTTTGTATCTCAGCACAAAAAGCACGAAAATGGGAAAATAATTCAGAACGACTCCTCATAAAATATAACCAAGTCATGCGAGAGAAGTCATCAACGAAAGTAACAAAGTACCGAAACCCGGTTTTGGACATAACACGACATGGACCCCAAACATCAGAATGAACTAACTCAAAAGGAGCACGTGCTCGTTTATGGACTCTAGGACTTAAACTAACTCGATGATGTTTAGCAAATTGACAAGACTCACAATTTAAAGAGGACACCTTACTAAATTGCGGACACATCTTTTTCAACAATGGTAAGGATGGGTGCCCTAAACGACAATGGACTTCCAACGGAGTACCCATCCCAAAGCAGGCAACAGTTCTCGGTATACTGGAATCAAGAATATAGAGGCCACCAGACTCATGCCCTTTACCAATAATCTGCTTCGTCGTAAGATCCTGGAACATGCAGTGAGTGGGAAAAAAGGTTATGGAACAATTTAGAGCATTAGTGATTTGACTAACAGAGATCAAATTAAAAGACAAGTTAGGAAGGCTCAAGACCGAGGATAACGGGAGATCAGGAGTCGGATTAGCAGTGCCAATCCCAAGCACCCTAGAAGTGGATCCATCAGCTAGAGTGACATGGGAAGTTGAAGGAGAAGATTGAAAGGTAGATAGGAGGCTAGAGTTACCTGTCATATGATCCGTGGCTCCCGAATCAATACCCCATTTGGAAGCTGAAGAGACGAGGCAAGTGTTGGGATTACCTGAGGTGGCAGCCGCTACAGTTGAGGGAGATGATGAGGATTCTTGGTACTTCAGGAACTTAGCATACTCATCTGCAGAGAATACAACCGTTTTCTCACCATGAGTATCAGAAGACACCATATTGGCAGACCGATTGCCCTGATTTCTATTCTGAAGCTTTCGGCAATCCTTCTTCATGTGCCCCGGTTTCTGACAGTAATGGCAAATGATTGGATTATACTGCTGGCCATAAGGATCCCTATTGTGATATGACGACTTCACAGGCTCCCCCTTTGACTTCTGACTGACAAGAACACTACTCGACTGAGGGGGTTGATAGGTCTCTGTGCGTAATACTCTAGAGAATACATCAGATAGGGATTTGAGCTCCTCACTGGACAATATCTGGGACTTGGCTGGTTCTAGTCGAGGATGAAGACCAGCCAAAAAACTCATGATGGCCATTTGTTCTCGCTGTTGTTGCTGCACCTTTATATCCGTTGTGAACGGCATTAATTCATTAAGAGCCTCATATGTTTTCTTGAACTCCATAAAATAAGTCTGCAGAGGTTTGTCAAGCATGTCGGCCCTATAAAAAGCCTTACAAACATAATAGATTCGAACAATGTCGCCCTTACTCGAATACAAAAAATTAAGATAGTCTAAGAGCTCTTTGACAGTTTCACAATGACTAACAAAACCAAATATTTCAGATTCAATTGAGTTCCGTATTTGAAGAAATAATTTAGCATCATCACGCAACCAAGTTTGCTTAGCTTTGTCATCCTCAGGCGGGGTGGCAGTCATATGGGCATCTTTGTCAATACTACGTAGATATATTTTAATGGTTCGTTTCCAATCCAAATGATTTGAGCCATTTAATTTGTGTTCTGTGATTCTTGCATTAACTGGAAGAATATCGGACACAACTATAGACTTAGGCTCAGACATTAGGCTATCCAACAAGAAGATATCTCAAATCAGACAACCAAACTTCCAGAATCAGACCTCTAAGCCACAACAAACACACAAACAGCCACACAACTTCACTGTCTTGCAAAGCAAAAAATAAGAGGGATATTACCGGGACCTCCAATGCCAAAACCGAGCCTAGAGCAGCGACGTAGACGACTGGGCGACCTCGGGAAAGTAGACCGGAGTGGATTCCGGCGCCGGAGTGACGCACACGCGCCGGCGCGTGGATAGTCGGCGATGGACGAAGGCGGCGCGTGAGGGCCACTCGCCGGGCGAAATCACGTCGAATTCAGCAGTCCGGCCTATCGGCGACTCTGCTCCTGATGGTGGTGACGACAAACGGCCGGCGACAATCCCGACCCAAACCTCCACCGTGCGCAGAAGCAGAAAGAGGAAAAAAAAAAAAAATTCTGTGTTTTTTTTTTTCTTTATGTGGCTCTTGATACCATGTTCTAATCTCTGTATTC